AAGTTCTTATTCAAAATAGTTATTAATTGTTCAAAATTTTTAAGATTGCAAATTTGATATGACAAATGAAATTTTTTAATAAATAATAAGTAGTACATTTGAAATGAAATAATTGTATGCGTATAAAATGATAAATTGGAAAACATTTGAAATTGAATTTTAAATAATAAATGATAAAAACGAAAGTAAAAAAAGGACAAATTTTTCACAGTAATAAGTAGCAAACATAAAAAGAAATTAAAGGACTGAAATAAATTCTTTAGAAAAAAACAAAGAAACATCAAATATATTCTTAAAAATTTGAATAAAAAATTAAAAAAAGTCCATTGAAAATACATATTACTATTAGCAACTTTTATCATTAATGTTAAAATTGAATTTTGATAAGATCAAATTTGGATTAAATAAAAAAATATGTACCTTATCCGTATATGAAAGTGTACCGGTACCTTCATGTTCATTTTGACTTTGTGGATTAAGAGCAAAGTCAAATCGTTCATTGGTAGCTGCAAAATCAGTATCCTTTGGATCTTTCAGGGAACCTCGGGCAACCGTATCTAATGTATATTTTCCATCAGCTTTTAAAAATGCATGACGACCTTCGCTATCTTCCTTAGTTTTTATTTGACCTCTGTAAAAAAAGAAAAAAAAATTTAAATAAAAAATAAAAATAGAAAAAACTGAAAAAATATAAGGAAAGAATAAAAAAATTTTATTTCAGTTATATGTTTTGTTTTTGTTTTTTCATTGACCATAAATTTTACTAATAATTAATACTAATACCAATAATTAATTAATTTTATTTGTAATTTCACTAATAACATTAGCAATTTCATTTTCATAATTTAACTAATAATGATAACTGCTAATTCACCAATAGCAATTGCTAATAATTTTAGTAATAATTTACTAATACTAAAAATTTCTTAATATCATATTCCATAATAAGGAGTTCAGAGGACGAAAAATAATTTTTTCAATGGATTATCTATTATACGACATAACCAAACAAAATTTTACAATTAAAATTATTCATTATCAAATGATTATTGATATCATATATATATGTATTTCTATCATAAAATAGTTTGTTTAATTTAATTTAAATCATTTTAAATTTTCAAAATCAATAATTCAAATTTGAAAAAGTTTGAAAATAAATAAACAAAAAAGGAAGTGGAAATTATTGACGAGAAATAAGCGAAACCTACTTATGTCCTTCAACCTGTGCAATACCACCTTTGTCACCAAATCGTTGTACTTGCGCTCGTTTTCCATCACTTTCTGCTACTGCCATATTACCCTGTGCTGATGCACTTAATTGTTTACCGGAATTTATTAAATCAACGATTACCTTTTCCGAATTACTACCATCTAATGATACCTAAAAGAAAAAAAAAGCCATATAAAATTTTGTAAAATCATTAAAAAATTTTGTTTAATATTTTCTAAACTAATAATCAATAATGTTTCCTTGGAAAGAATGAATCAATTTTTACCATAATCAATGATTAAATGATTAAAAACAAAAAAAAATCAATGATTAAAAAATAATATTGGATCAACGATCAAGTTTTTTAGATCAATGATCAGTTTTTACTGACCATTGATCAATTTTTCCTACATCCATTTCATATATTCTATTATTTTATTATTATTATTCTTTTTTTACCAAATATTTTCTCAGTAAAATAATCAATTTATATTACAAATAATATGAAATACCTTTTGTACATTATTCTTTTCCGGTTCAAGCCATGATGTATCAACATCAATATGTTTCCGTTTCGGATTAATAGCAACATGATTTGGTGCTAAGGTTGTTACTTCAATTATCGGAATATGTATAAGTAATAATGAAATAATTAGTAAAAATAACATTCTTCTTCCTTTTTGTTAAAAAAAAAAAATAGAAAAATAAAAATAAGAAAGGAAAAATTAATTGTTGATAAAATTTCGTTTCCTTCTTTTAATTATACAATGTTTATCGTTAGTTGATCTTCAGTTGTTTGTTTTTTTTTTTTTTGTTTAGTAAGAGAGTTATTAAAGAGATGAATAAATAAAATCAGTAATATGAAATAGTTGCATAATTAGTAGTAATTAATAATAATGATAATAACAATGAAAAAAAAAAAAAAGTAAATGCCAGTAGTAACAAAATAGTTGTAAATTGAACAAATAAGTATTATTGGAAGATAATGAATAAATTAATTGGTTGATTTGGTCAGTTGATTTGGTCAGTTTGTTTATATGGATGAATGGAATGGATCAATGAATGAATGAATGAAATGGATAAGTATTATTGGAAGATAATGAATAAATTAATTGGTTGATTTGTTTATATGGATGAATGGAATGGATCAATGAATGAATGAATGAATGAATGAATGAATGAATGAATGAAATGGTTGAATGATAAAATGTACGGTTTTCGTTGTTAGAAGCATCCATAGAAAACCGATTTGACATCATGAATTGTATCTGTTTGAATTTAGAATCATGAATTTAGACCGGTTCTAATATATCAACTGATAAATAGCCTCCGGGTTTCTTGATCTCATTCCTATTTCCTTTCTTTCTTCCTTCCTTTTTCCTTTCTCATCGTAATATTATCGTATCAAAGAAATTAAATTTTTAAATTTATGCCACAATTCAAGCAAAAATATTTCCAAACAAACCAGTTTTAATTAATTAATTACGCTCATTTCTCCGGCTTTTATTATCATATCAATGATGGAATAGCTTATCTTATCAATGATAAAATAATCTTTCTGAATTGGTTTAAATATCAATGAAATGATTTATCCATTGATGTGTATATGTGTAATTAATGAACAAAAATGGAATGTATCAACTGATATCAATATTTGATCGTTATAGGATGACAGGACAATTTGAGTGCGACACAAAATGTTTAACGAAAATAAATTGATCAAATAAAATTTTGATTATTTAGTTATTGTAAAAGCATTATTAATGTATTATCATATATGATATCATAAAAAGATTCAATGAATATCACATTAAATGATGATAAATTGTCGATAAGAAGATAAATGGGTCATCTCGAAATGATAATTATATGAAATATGATTGGATCATATGTTTTAATCAACCATTTCATTCAATCATAATCCATCAGGGAATAATGATTACATTATGATCATAGAATTTGATTAGAATGAAATTATGTTGTATTAAAGAATGTATGTCAAAGTTCAAAAGTCAAATATAAAAAGTTCAAAAATTATTCAACTGAATAAAATATT